CCTGCGTCTTTTGCAGCATACAGGATAGACTCATCACTGTAAAGTCCACAACTTCGTGATTTTTATTTGTAGAATACATGACAGGCGTATTCAGTGTGCCTCGCAGGACTGCGAGATGCTGCAGAAGACCAGGTTCGACCTTTCTGGACCGACATTCACCGACGGTGGGCTACACGATGCTGGAGGAACTAGATTCCAGTGAAAACCCAAGATTCCTTTGCTCCTGGACGCTCCGACGTGTTGTGATATCTGCCAGGTGCGCAGTAACTAGTATTTTCATCGCTATAGCGAGGACGACGCCGATCGGCAAACTCTCGCTCACAGCCATCACCAGCCTCTCAAAACCATCACTTGGCATCCCCCAGAGGTATAGGAGAAAGCCAAAACAGCTCTCAACAAATAAAAGCTAAGGACGATGGAAAGGGAGCATGTCAAAAAGAAGACGAACAGTATGAAGTTCAAATGGGTTTGAACACTCGTTCCACCAACTATACCACTTTCAATAAATCGTGACGCCATTTTGTTTTAACATGAATATCGCGGATTAAAGGGGAACTGTCACCAAAAACATTCTTTGTCTTATCTTGTAGTTCTTTGGCTCCTAATCACGATGGTGTTATTCGTTTTTCTCTGCGATGACTGGAAGTGGGTGAAAACTTGAAAAGAAGGTGCCCAAAATTGTCCCGAAGTACCGAGTGACGTCACGCCGGACTTGACCTCCACGCGTACATTCATCGTAAAAAACGAAGTCCAGCCCGTGTGCTGGTCGATCGAGCCAACTGTTCAATGTACGGTGCACGCTTGCCTTCTGATGTATACGTTGTACACAATGAGAACGCCAAAAAGGGACAAAACAAACAAAAGTCGACAGAAGTTTGTCGCACTGGTACTTCCTCCACGAAGCTCCAGCTCTTTGTTTTATTTGTGATTACGAAGGAGTGGAAGGATACCTCGTACTTGAAAATTATGTCGTTGTATCGAAGGTGGCGGTGTTGCCCACCCGGCTCTGAAATGAAAGACGTCGGAGTTTGTCATCTGCATCTTCAGCAACATCGCCAGATGAATCGCCTTCACGTAGCTACATTGCGTTCCTTTGGGGCTCGGGTTGGTGGTGTTGTCGCCGGCCGGAGGAGTACTGTTTTCGGCATACGCGCTCATCATCGTGTTGTCCCTCACACGAAAAGTTCAAAACAACGACGTACTTCCGTGCTCACAAAATAAAAAAAACTTAGGTCCTCGCGGAAGAAGTCAAAAAGGTGAGAGCTCAGCTGCTTTTTATTTTGATTTGGCTGTGTAGCTGCACGTGGGTCTCTGCCTCTTTAGCTTTGGCATTCTTAAATTCTCCTTCGGTACGACGTACCCATCTGTGCTAGAGTTCAAAAGGCACACGTGCACCGTACATCGGAACAGCTAGCTCAATCGACCAGCACACGGGCTGGACTTCGTTATTAGAGAGGTTAAGTTACACGTTTTTTGCCCTTTTTCAAAACGCGGTGCAAATCTCACGTTACGTGAAATTTTTAGAGGTTAAGTTACACGTGCGACGTGACGTGAAATTTTGCCTGGCAGGATTCGGGTTTAGTTCGCACAAATATCAAATCTTCCAACAAACTTGATAAATCTCGATAAAATTCCGGAAACTCACACAAATTCGGTCGGGATAACCAAGCGAAACTTCCAAAAACTCACGTCATGAACTTACGTGCGGGACAGTCAACTCACGTAAAACACGTCAAATTTTACGTGAGTTTTTTCACTTTTTGACGTAAAAGTTCACGGACGTAAGACTTTTACGTGAAACTTAACCTCTCTATTGACGACGAATGTACGCGTGGAGGTCAAGTCCGGCGTGACGTCACTCGGTACTTCGGGACAATTTTGGGCACCTTCTTTTCAAGTTTTCACCCACTTCCAGCCATCGCAGAGAAAAACGGATAACACCATCGAGACCCGGAGCCAAGGAACTACAAGATAAGACAAAGAAATGTTTTGGTGACAGTTCCCCTTTAACTGTGGGTCGCAGCACGGTTGGAAAAAATCCTTCCCCTGGTACCTCTCGTTTCTCAATCATGGTCTTAGACCAACCCACTGTGCTTGCCTACTGCCCAACAAAGCTGACAAAAATTTCTCGTAGCACAGTTGAGTCTTGCTTGGAAGCAAGGCATACACGAGAGGGATGTCGGTACCATGATGCAAGCCATGGACAGTGTATAGTTGGAGAAACAGCCTCGGAACAGTCTTGAATGTAGTAATAGGTTTTTCATTTGACCCGACGAGACCATACGACGCTTGCAGACAACAGCACGAACAGTTCACCAGCCACACTCCACGAAAGCAAGTAGTATTACTCCTGACAAGTCTTGTTTCGTTCCATAAAGATGACGGGGAACTCATCAGAGGAGAAGCAGTTGTTGAATGATGGAGTTAAGCTGAATAATGTTATTTTATAGAGAAGATACCAGCGCAAGGTGTAAACACTCAACTATCTCACATATGTGACAAATAGACACAAAAAGGAATAGTGCAGAATGGAGGTGTTATGAACCCTACCAGACATAACTATCACAAGTGCTAAATCGATCACAATGAGAAGGAGAGGTACACAGGCATAGGTTGCGCTAGTTTATACGTCACAAAGAGTACTGAGGTGGTGACAAAGATAGGTGAAAAGTGAAAAGTAGACGCCAAGTGAAAGCCAACAAATCATCACGGACGTCTAACGTCACATCTGAAGATTGCTAACTGCACAGGACAAATACTTCACGAACCTCGATGATTGAAATTCAGCAAATGGTAGGTGAAAGGAAGGCTGCTGGGTGTGTCATAAAACTGTGGGCTGCTGAGGCGACGTATCCATCTAGATCTTGACTGCAGGGTTGGCGTCTAACGCTATAATCCGAGCAGCAGATCACATCCTTCCTCTCCTCTGACAATGGCAGGTTTCCTGGTCCAGGAGAAGTCATAATTCTTTGTTGCCATCTTCCATAGGTCCGTCAAATAGTAATAGGTTTTTCTCTCTCTCTCTCTCTGTCTCTCTCTCTCACTGTCTCTGTCTCTCTGTCTCTCTGTCTCTCTGTCTCTGTCTCTCTCTCTGTCTCTCTCTCTCTCTCTCTCTCTCTCTCTCTCTCTCTCTCTCTCTCTCTCTCTCTCTCTCTCTCTCTCTCTCTCTCTCTCTCTCTCTCTCTCTCTCTCTCTCTCTCTCTCTCTCTCTCTCTCTCTCTCTCTCTCTCTCTCTGTCTCTCTGTCTCTCTGTCTCTCTGTCTCTCTGTCTGTCTGTCTGTCTGTCTGTCTGTCTGTCTGTCTGTCTGTCTGTCTCTGTCTCTGTGTCTCTCTCTGTCTCTGTGTCTCTCTCTGTCTCTGTGTCTCTGTCTCTCGCAGGGTTGGCGTCTAACGCTATAATCCGAGCAGCAGATCACATCCTTCCTCTGACAATGGCAGGTTTGTCTCTCTGTCTCTCTCTGTCTCTCTGTCTCTCTGTCTCTCTGTCTGTCTGTCTGTCTCTGTGTGTCACTCTGTCTCTCTCTCTCTCTCTCTCTCTCTCTCTCTCTCTCTCTCTCTCTCTCTCTCTCTCTCTCTCTCTCTCTCTCTCTCTCTCTCTCTCTCTCTCTCTCTCTCTCTCTCTCTCTCTCTCTCTCTCTCTCTCTCTCTCTCTCTCTCTCTCTCTCTGTCTCTCTCTGTCTCTCTCTGTCTCTCTCTGTCTCTCTCTGTCTCTCTCTGTCTCTCTGTCTCTCTGTCTGTCTGTCTGTCTGTCTGTCTCTGTGTGTCACTCTGTCTCTCTCTCTGTCTCTCTCTGTCTCTGTCTCTGTCTCTGTCTCTGTCTCTCTCTCTCTCTCTCTCTCTCTCTCTCTCTCTCTCTCTCTCTCTCTCTCTCTCTCTCTCTCTCTCTCTCTCTCTCTGTCTCTCTGTCTCTCTGTCGCTCTGTCTCTCTCTCTCTCTCTCTGTCTCTCTGTCTCTCTGTCTCTCTCTGTCTTTCTCTGTCTCTGTGTGTCTCTCTGTCTCTGTCTCTCTCTGTCTCTCTCTCTGTGTGTGTGTGTGTCTCTCTCTCTCTCTCTCTCTCTCTCTCTCTCTCTCTCTCTCTCTCTCTCTCTCTCTCTCTCTCTCTCTCTCTCTCTCTCTCTCTCTTGTTATGTAATACAGCATTCGATTTGACACATCAACAGGCACAAACAGGGCTGCAAGCTGCAGGGAGAAGTGACGGTCCAGTACAGCCTCATCCCAACGTTAGCTTTACTCAGCCTGATGCAAACCAACCCCAGCCTGTTGGCCAGCCGCTCTAACCATCCTGAGGGAATGCATGCCAGTGACTTTCAACAGACCCCACTGAACCATCTAGCACAAGGCGTACATTATCAATGGAGCAACCCCTCTGCAACAGAAGCAGCAGCAGCAGTCGATAGTGACACCGCTCTTTCCTACAGTGGTTCCAACACAGCTGCAGGGAATAATGGCATGCTGTCGCAGATTGATATTGATGAGTTGATAGAATCATCCAAGTCAATTCCTGACAATAAAGTTGAACAGATGGCAGCAGAATTGCGGAAGGAATTTGACCAGCACTGCAGCAGCCACAACAGCAACAGCAGCAGCCACAACATCCGCCCAAATCACCTGGTCACCGCGCCAGCAGGCGACAACTTTCACACCAAGGTTCAACTCGAGTGACAGGACTGCGCCCAAAAAAGGTCAAACAGGCTAGTAAGTTGTACCCTGCAGGCACGGTGACCAGGTGACTGGTGTACGCAGGAGCACGTGACCGCTTGTTCAACCATGTTCGATTGGGAATAAAGGAGTAACGCTGCATCGCAGCCTTTTCGGACCAAAACCAGTCGACTCTGCGTCCAAAAGACTTCAACATATGGGCCAATCGCGGTCATCCGTGCTTTTATAACAACGGAATGGCGCTTTTAGTGACATTTTGCATACAAATCCCCATCTAGTAGGGCGCAGTCACCCAGTTTCGGTGGAAGTGCGCGAGTTCGATTGGGATTCAAGTAGGAAGGGAGTGTCTCAGCTTTCTCGGACCAAGACCATTCGACTCAGCACCCCGAAGACTACAACTGGTGAAATTTTAATTTTTGCCTTAACTTCCCCTTTAACACATCCATTTACGAAGCTGGCTGCAGTGCTATTTTGGAAAGGCTGTTATTCAGCTCATGAGGAGAGCAGGGTTTGTAAGCCGTGTAAGGTGTGTTCACTAAATTAAGCCTATTTGGGTAGGTCTCTCAGTACTGACATAGAGTGAGCGGCATGCGAGGGCGGTATTGGGTGCAGCAATTGTCCTCTATGAATAATTAATAGTGTTGGCTGAGTAGCTTTCGGCTGCTGTGGAAAATGCTGTTGCAGCTGAACCTGCTGCTGGTGATGCAGCTACTGCTAGTGATGAAGCTACCGCTGGTGATGCCTCTGCCCCTGGTGGTGCAGCTATCGCTGGTGATGCAGTTACGGCTAGTGGTGCAGCTACAGCTTGTGATGCAGCTACAGCTGGTGATACAGCTGCCGTGGGGATGGGAGAGAGTGTTGCTGATTCTAATGCTGAGGCAGTGGTTTCTGTGCCCCGTCCTGCAGTGATACCGACTGCTGCTGCATCAAATTGTTGTGTTAGGTTTTCACTAGCGATGACAGTAGCTGATGTGTGGTTGTAAGTGCTGGTAGATGCTGGTGATGATTGTGTCTCTAGGGTTGCTGTTCTGGATGTTGACCATGAGGTTGTTGTTCCATCTACTGTGCTGGCGGGTATGGGAAGTGAATATGTTGCTGCTGAAGAAGCCGTCTGTTCTGAGTCAGTTCTGGTAGGCTGTAGGTAGGCTGCCCTGTTGCTCATGCTGCTTCTGGTGCTGGCTTTGGTGGCTATGTTGTCGCCATGGGCTGCATTTTGAACGTCATGCAGCTTGGTGTGCTTTTTAGAGTGCTCTTTAAGCCTGTTTGGTTGCGTATACCTCTTCGTACATCCTGGGTGCCCACATGGGTAGGGCCTATCTTTCGTGTGCACGACCATGTGCCTCTTTTGACCCCAGGAGTCGGCGAATGTTTTCGTACATTCCGGGAACGAACAAGGAATTGGGTTCTTCCCTGTGTGGGCCAGGTTATGTTTCTTCAAGTTTGGGGAACGTGTGAAGGATTTCCTTGGATGACAAGATGGATGATTACAGACAAAGGGTTTTGCACCTGTATGAACTCGTGTATGATTGACAAGCATATGTCGGTCCCTGAATCCTTTGGTGTGTTTACACTGGTCCCAGTGACAGAAGTGGATATTACCACCCTCCTGTGTGACATGTTTATTAGTGTCCTTCTGTTGGAGATGATCGTCACTTATATGCTCAGCTAGTTCGGAGACATCAGAGAAAGTCACCCCACATAACTCTTGACCGTTATTCACATGCCAGTGACACTGATGTCTGGGATGTGCGTCAAGCAATGGCGATGGAGGTTCAGACAGGTTATCTGATTGATAATTTTCGCCTTGTTCTAGATGGTTCAGTGGGGTGTCTGGACGGCTGGCATGCATTTCCGCAGGATGGTTACAGCTGGCCATTGTGTCAAGCAGTTCTGGGACACTGTTTGGTGATGAAATAGTACTAATGGTTGGTTGCGGATGTGGTGGGAGACCCACTGGTGACTCTGGTATTGATGATCCTGGACCACCCTTAGTACCACTGCTAACTCCTCTGAAGTCACCAGTGTTGACAGGCTGTCCAATATGGCTATGCTGCTGACCAATAGGCTGAGTTAAGCTATTGTTGGAATCAGGCTGTACTGGAGTGACATTTGTCCCTGCAGCTTGCAGCCCTGTCTGTACCTGTTGATGAGTCCCATCGAATGCTGTGTTTCAGAGCAAAGGAGAAATTGGCAATGTTCAAATGAGATAATGATAACAATTGTCTGAAGTTGATGGTACTGAACTAAGGTATCCCGCAACATCTATGTGTGCTTAGGTTTACCAAAGGGAGGTGTTCCTCAGCACAGATAATTATACGGAGTGATCCCATACGCCAATTTAGGAAGTGGTGCATGCCCCTGTTGCATGGATCCGTGAAAGCGCGAGACCGACTATGAATTAGCTACGGCTCATGAACACATCATAGGCTCATCCGATCGCACAACTTGTGCCCACAATTTCCATGTTACAATTTTTTTCCTTGGCTCGCCATCTGAGTTCTCAATATTTTGTATGAGCTCTGCTTGTTCGCTTGGTAAAGTACAAATATGGAATACTATATTACATCAACCGAACTAGCTGGCGGGTCACACACACACACACACACACACACACACACACACACACACACACACACACACACACACACACACGCACAATGGCCACTCGTCAAGATGGTGGCAAATCCGAAAGTACAAATATTTCGACTCTGCCTATGTGCGCGGCGGATGCAAATCTCGCAATAATCTAATAATTTTGTCATCAATTTTTTAGAGAGCCAGTCATTGGCTAGTGAGACGCCACCATTGCTTGTTCGATTGGTAAAGTAAAAATATGGAATACTATTATAACACCAACCGAACTAGCTGGCAGGTCACACACACATACACACATGCACATGCACAGACACACATGCACATACACACATGCACAGACACACACGTACATGCATGCACACACATGCAGACACACACATGCAGACACACAGTGGCCACTCATCAAGATGGCGGCAAATCCGAAAGTACACAAATTTCGACTCTGCCCATGTGCGCGGCGAACACGAATCTCGCACGTGCATGCAAAATCTAGCCTTCCACAGATCTGGGTTGAGCAAATGTGTAGGATCGACGACCTTTTCCGAGAGAGAATGTGGCTCTTTTCATTCCAACATTTTACTCGCCACGCTCTCCCTCCCAGCTTGTTGATACGATAACTGGTACCGAGTAGAAGTCTCCATCTCCACAGCAGGCCAGGCAAAATCGCAAAGTTGAAATACTTTTCTCACTTGGTTTTTTGGTCCTTTGAGGTGTATATGTGGTGGTTGTGTACAACTCGAAGTGACAAACTTGAGACCCAGCGCCACAAAGTTTCGCTTGGCTGTTCGATGAAAGGACGTATGGAAGAAACTACCGTTGCTGCCGGCAAAACTCCTAGTAATGGAAGAAACGGGGGTGTAACTTTGGTAATACCAAGGAGAATGTACGCCATTCCACAACGAAGACGAAACTACGAGCTCAAAAAGACTCCGATTTTCAAACAAACGCCGCAGAAAAGAAGACATGACCGCAGTGTTCCCATGTGGCCTCCAAAACACCTAATTTTACTTCGATAGTGGCTGGTTCAGGGCAAATTCAGGCCCAATTCGACAGCGTCGTACCGCTCAGATTCGCCCAAAACACGAGGAAATGTACGGTGGATCCGATTGCGTACGCATTTTGCGTACGGGGAAGACTGGCCAGAGTTCATGCACTACAAACACCTGTGACATGCACACACACACATGCACACACACACACACATACGCAAGCACACACACACGCACACGCAAGCACACACAAGCACACACACTTGGCAGGCCGTTGGTTAGCGCAATCGAGCAGTGCTCAAGCTGACTTTCATGGGGTGGAATGTCTCAGTACTCCTTGTCAGTTGTGGGCTAGATTGTGCACGTCCGACTGTTCAAAATCTGGTTTAGTTGGTGGACTCGATCGCATAACTTGTGCCCACAATTTCATGTTACAAATTTTTTCCTTGGCTCGCCATCTGAGTTCTCAATATTTGGTATGAACTCTTTTGAGACTTCGTTAAAAAAAAGTGACATTGCTTTCAGTCAATTATTGTCTCCACGTCGCTTATTTTCATTTTCACTATTATTCATTTTGGCACCAGCTGAGCAAAACACCAGAACTGGGAGAAATTCTCTGTTGTCGAAAAACCACTCTCCTAATTGTCAATCACCTATAGCAATTCACCAAAGTGTGCCTTGCGAGAATTGTCCAGGCATCGACGTGGTTTCCACCCAGTCCACTGCAATTTAACATCACTCACAGAAATGGTTTTCGGTGTGCGGACCTAGAACCAAGGTTGCGGAAAAGTGGCGAAGTAGTTTGCCAAAATGAATGAAGTTGCGGAAGATGCCGTATTTTCAAAACAGCAAAAAGTAGCGAGAAAGTGGCTGTTACATGTACCGGTACTACACAAGAGTTGCACGTGCTGGTGTACATGCTGCTTGTTGCACAGTCATCTAGTACCTTGCTGTGCCACCACATGACACACTCCATGTTTGGCTTACGTACATATGACATGCATTCATGATCACCTAGCCTCTGTGGTCTAGTTTCTCACTGTACTGTACACATCTGGTTCTACATCCTTCTCTCTCTTTTTCTACTGCTTCTAGCACCTTCCATCCAGTTCTGATATGCTGCAGTGATTCGCATTTCTTTGTTCTCCTTTTTTATGTTCCCAACGAAGTAAAGTCAGAATCTACTGCTCTCACAGGTTTGGTGTCTGTGCTCACAATAAGTTCCAGGATCGAACTTTACAATGGCGAGCTTCTTTTGGAAGGGCTGCTAGTACACATACAATACAATACAACACAATAATACCCATCCGCACATGATGGAAGGTCCTGAAAGGATCGACAGTGTTTGTCATGGGGAACAGGAATTCGAGTGGCGAGTGAGGTCCTGGCGACGGCGAAAATCTTGGCCTCGTACACACACACATACATACACACACACACATACACAAACGCACACACACAGATGCATACATACGTACACACACACACACACACACACACACACACACACACACACACACACACACACACACACACACACACATACACACATAAAGGCTAGAGAGCCAGTACTACAAAATTTATTTTTTTACAAAGAAAATAGATCGGGGTAGTAACCATGCCTCGCAGGATAATATTCTCTTTTTAGGGGCCATCCGTAATTATCGATCTTTTTCACGAAGAGAAAAGGTTTCGTTCATGGCTGGGCGGGTTGAGGAGAGTTTCGTTATGAAAAAATATTGATAGCTGAAACATCAGTTCATACTAGCTGTCAAGTCAATATATTTTTCGTTCATGGGGGTGGGGGGTGGGTGGGGGAGGGTCATAACTAAACTTTTTCGTTTCGTGAAAAATATCGATAATTTTGGATGGCCCCGTATCCCATGCCGGGAACAAATATTACCAAGACATTATGTACGGAGCATACAGGTTGCAAAACATTCAACTTCCATCGCTTACCCTGTCCAGTAAGCGTCGGTCGTTGGTCTTTGGAATCCGCCACCGGAATATACGGAGGCGTATTCTTGGGTGGCTCAGTTCCCATCGTCCGTTGATTTCCTTCTTCTTCTGACGTGTTCGGGGAGGAAGACATTTTGGACAGAGAGTTGGTGACAACTAGGGCAGTGTCAAACAGCCCACCGAGTCTCTGGAACTTGGCTATACTTTTTCAAGAGTTCGAACACAATGGTAGCCAAAACAGACGAGGTGACTGGCTTGTCCAGAGAACAGCAGCAAGATAATTATGGTCCGAGAGATACGGAAAGAGCCCACGCAACGACAAGTAGTCCTGATCATATCACCAGCAATCAGCGACATCGCGCCTGACAAAAGGTTTTCAAATAAGATATTTCCACCCAAACGTCACTGACACTGCTGGTGCTAAGCTAGCTCGCGTGTGAAGTTTTTGTTTGTGATCTCAATGAAAATTAAAAGGCGAGAGTTCAAAAAAATCCTTTTTCATTGAGATATCACAAAAAACCTTCACAACAAGCAGACAAGACATTAAAGGGGCACTCCGGCTTCATTTTCGACGCCGAGTTTTCGATGCCAAGACGAAGGTAGGTGAAAGAGAAGACACCTCGAACAAGAACGAGTCTCCAGAAGCGATCGAGTCGAGCAGGAAGACGACTGTTGAATTTCGGCCGAGCGAGCGCTGATGACGTAATGAGGGATTAGCTTGCCAGTGGAAATGCATCTGCGCACATACATTTCACACACTTATTGGCCAATTTTCAATCGAAGAAGAGGTTGTTTGCTATGTTCTCCCAACGCCGTGAGCGATCCCGTCTTCTATACCCTTCCAGGTACCCTGAAGGTCCTTCAGAGGAGAATTTATCTCCATCAAAGCGTTGTTGATCCGTCCGCTAAGTTCGTCTCGAGACATATTCACCCAGTGCAGTGCTGATAAATGTAGAATGTTGAATCTGTGATAATTGTCGACGATGGAGAGAGAGGCTGATAGCCGCTGTCGCAGGGAGAGTGAAGCTGCTGGAAGTAACAACAGGGAGCCCGTTTGTATCACCTGAACAACCAGACTTCAAAGCAGCTTGACCAAATCGGAGGGTGCCTCGTTGCTTATCGTGAATATTACACCGACATGAATTACTACAAGTATACTGGTGAGTTTTTATCTTGTTTTGTTCGTATGCTAGTACCCTGGCCTGGAGTTCTCGTTAGCAAATTCCTATTCCCTGGCGTTTTCTAAACATTCCGTGTAGGACTGAATACGTGATCAAGTATTCCGATTTGGGTAAATGTGGAATTTGGACATGTATTTTATTAAAAAAATCTTTTCCAAATAGAGCGTTTGTAGAGAAATGGTTGCCCAAATACAACAAAATTTATTCTGCAGTTCTACAACTAACTTGTACTGAAATCCAGTCGAAGTAAAAATGATTCTTCATGACAGTTGGGGTCAATGAAATCTGATCCAGGCATAACGAATGGTGACGCCTGCCACCCCGGGAACGAATGCCCATTTGGTGGGGGATACCAAAGTACTCGAAAGTAGTGCGTGTTTCAATGTGGCATGGAAGTTTTATATGATCTCTGGTCAATGCAACATACAATAGCCATCATGAATTGCAGGCCTCGAACGCAACTCCGACCAGAATTGGCAGTTCCCTAAGTTAGATGCTTTATAATTCCATGGCCCCAGCTGTAGTTATAGAGGGTTTTTTGCACATTATTCTTATTGTCGATAGGTTTATACTGATGGCCACAAACAACGGCAGTTCAAACTTCACTGATGTGTTCATGAGCTGAGAGATTTCTCTCCACTATTTCTGTTGTGCACACAGGTTTGTCCAATATGCATTGACCGTATTGGGTATGGTACCTGCTCTGAGAAGGGAATCGCTGGAGCCACAGTCCAAATATACAGGCTTTCAAGAAACAGAGAGGAGCCTTCTTTGCAAGCTGATACCCGATGTGTACCGACAGAATTCTCACGAGATACCTTACAGACTACGCCTGGTGTATACTTCATTGTACTCCTTCGACTACTGTCTAGGATCAAGTCGACTGAAGCAAGTTCAAACAACTCTGGCTTCAAACGAGCCGTCGATTAGACAAACAAAACATTCTCTCATATACTAGAGCACTCTGACAACTCACGACCTATTCCTAACGATTGCCACCGCTTATAAATATGTAGAGTACTGATTGGAATGTGCTCACAATCTCAACAATCCAGTGCTATAATTATTTGAACTATGTGTTCCTTCCATAAATGTTGTATCCACATATAATCCACAGTGCTGCAAAGTTTCAGAGTTCTCAGGGTATCAAACAAAATTATTTCAAATACAGTGAAATAGTTCGTGGACATTATAGCGTAACTTGTAGTTCCCTGGTCCTTTTCTTTGCTATAAATTAATCCTTTGCTCTCTAGCCACCGGCGAGTCCAACAGTGAAATTGTTAGTTCATATTTATGTGGGTATGTGGGGGGGGGGGGGGGGTGAACATATTTCTATATAAGGGACCTGCAACTGTAATACCACAGTACAGTAGATAGCAAATATGTAGAAAACAGAAATGCATGTTCCCATCATTGTACATGGACGGGCGCAGCAGGCCGAAGCTATCAGCCAGAACAGGATTTACAATCGCCTAGAGATACTTGAGCTATTCCAGTATTCTCCGTGAGCTGTCCCATTCCACAATGCCAATGGTTCATGCCACCATTATTTCTGGTAGTATCCATGTGCCAAGAACATCTCGGATTCTTCAACAATTTGTGCCACGGCAAAAGACAACGCTTTACTCGGTCACTGGGGCTGTCAAACTTCACATCACAAATGAACTTCAATTTCTCATCTGGTTCAAGTATATGTACTGCCCTGACTTGACCATGCTTCATCCACAGCTGGGCGAAGATTGTGGCGTTGAATTCCATAGCGCACCTTCTTGCTGCCATGCAGGAATATGTTGAGAGAAGTGAACATATTTTTACTAAAAAAACAACAGCCACTGAAGAGGATAGCATTAGCAATAGCCTTGGGTGAATTTCCTGCAGGTACACGTTGTTGGTAGGTCTACTGGTCGGTCTCCGTATCGTCAAGTTCAGAAATCACCTGTACTACACATCTTGTAGAAGGGATCCTGATCAAAAATTTTCTGATCATAAAATTCACTAAACTGAGGGCGAGACAAATATTCAGTACTCCCCGATTCCGTCTAGCTGCTTTGATCAAGTGATGCTAACAAGCTCCCCGTTGTTACTTCCAGCAGCTTCACTTTCCCTACGACAGCGGCTATCAACCTTTCTGTCCATCGTCGACAATTATCACAGATTCAACATTCTACATTTGTCAGCACTGCACTGGGTGAATATGTCTCGAGACGAATTTAGCGGATCAACAACGCTTTGCTGGAGATAAATTCTCCTCTGGAGGACCTTCAGGGTACCTGGAAGGGTATAGAAGACGGGATCGCTCACGACGTTGAGAGAACATAGAAAACAACCTCCTCTTCGATTGAAAATTGGCCAAAAAGTATGTGAAATGTATGTGCGCAGATGCATTTCCACTGGCAAGCTAATCCCTCATTACGTCATCAGCGCTCGCTCGGCCGAAATTCAAAAGTCGTCTTCCTGCTCGACTCGATCGCTTCTGGAGACTCGTTCTTGTTCGAGGGGTCTTCTCTTTCACCAACCTTCGTCTTGGCATCGAAAACTCGGCGTCGAAAATGAAGCCGGATGGCCGGCCGGCAGCTCTCTGCATGTCTTTTTCGGTGGAGGTCAGGGAGTCGTATAGACCCGGGAGGCGACACGCGCATCACTTGTGCACAACCATGATCGACTCAACGATTCAAAATATTACGACCTGCTCGGTGTGGGACAAGTCCGTACATAGGTCTTAGCGCGCGGGAAATCCGTACATAGCGAGAAATCGTCGTCTTCGTCCTTTCGAGAACAATTGTCACAGGTCAGACTTTCGATCTCCATTGCCGAAATACAGCCATCTGTGGCCATCGCTGAGGAGTTCACTTGTTCACTGTACTGGCTTACTCACTGGCTTTGCACTGCCACTCGAACTCTGAGGCACTTTGACCACCTAAGATGAGGTAATCCTTTCTTTACAAATTGCCTCAATATTTTCTCACCTTTAGGGCAATGAAGTAAATTCTTTCCTCATGACTAACCTTGACAGACTAAGTTGCCCTGTCCCAGTGATCTACAATACTTATATTTAGGGGTCAAACGGGTGTACCGGGTACCCGGGTACTCGCCCGTTAATCTCAGGTACCGTTAGTAAAACTAAAAGGGTACCCGTTTGTAAAAAAAAAAAAAAAAAAAAAAAAAAAAGTGATCCTATCGTATTCCAAGACTCAAAATAGGAGTGCGGATACTCTTTTCCTTTTTCCTGTGCATTCCCGCTTTCGACTTTATCAGGCAGGAGCGGGCTGAAAGACAGACTTGACAGTTGTTCTCTCCACTCTAGTGCAAGTAAAAATCCTCGTACTGGAGGTTTTTGATTGTGATGTGAGAAAATGCAAGACTTGAAACTCGTTCGAGGTGGCAGCTGAGTAACTAGAAAGTTACGATGGTTCTCCGACATCGAACCTGCCAGATGAACTAGTGTCACCAGGCTGAGTGACCAGTCGGAGTGTCACAAACGGTGATGTCCGTAGGTGGTAGCTACATGTATGATACTCATGGTTGTAGTTTGTTCCTTCAATCGACGAGCTGAAAAGTAGTTCGAAATATTGCATACAAGATTACGGATTTGTGAAGATTCATTTCACGAGTTCAACAAGCTAGCACTAGCAGCTAGCTGGCCAGCAGCACATCAGCTGTGTCAGGCACCCCAGCTAGCTATGGGCGCGAACATCTTCTGAATGCAACGAGTACCAGTTCTCTGCGAACACAGCAAATAGGATTGCGCGAGATCACGGAAGTTTTGTAAAACCACTCTGTCCTTGCATGGCTTGAATCACATCGATCTGCAGTTGATTTGCGTGCATGTATCAAAATACATGTAGCTTGTAGGACCATCTACATGTACGATTGTAAGTTACTGCCTGTGAAGTTATGTACATGGGCAAATGCACGGGTGACATTCATTTGGAACCTTCATTGCCATAATAATATTTTAATATTAAAATGATACACGAATCAATTCCGAATCATAATTGTACCTGAGAATATACAAATTAAAATCATGATTTATGTGAGAAATGCGCAAAAAAATAATATGGCTGCTAAAGGGTACCCGTTAACCCGCCCGTTAAGAAAATTACCCGTTCGTTAGTTAAAGGTACACCCGTTTGACCCCTACTTATATTGCACATTTGTGAAATATTGGACGAATCCAGATAAACGAAATGACTTACATTCGAAATTATATTTCCAAAGTTTTCCTTCACAAATAGTCCCAATTTGTTCTCACCTTTAGGGCAATGAAATAATTTTTTTCCTCATGACGAACTTTGACAGACTAAGTGGCCCTGTCCCAGTGATCTACAATACTCATATTGCACATTTGTGAAATATTGGACGAATCCAGATAAACGAAATGACTTACATTCGAAATTGCATTTTCCAAAGTTTTCCTTCACAAATAGTCCCAATTTGTTCTCACCTTTAGGACAATGAAGTCAATTTTTCTTCAGGACTAACATTGGCTAACAAAATGGCGCTGTCCCAGGGATCCACAATACTTATAATTATTACACATGTGAAATATTGGGAGTCAGAGTGAGGAAATGGCCTAAATTGAAGCTTGAACTGTTCTGCCATGTTTTATGCAGTAAACGCAGGGCTGAGAGCCCGCAAGAGCCATCCCGTAAGATCTTGTGCGCCACCAACCAAACCTTCGGTGAATGTTCACAAGGTTAGAAGCTCGCACAGATAACACACATTGGATGCTAATACAATGCACTCAGGAATGTGTGCAAATACAACAGAATTAATTCCGAATAAAGTCAACAATAGCTGCCTCAACACAGTGCTAACAACCTTCCGCGTTTTCCATATTCGAGTGGAACGAAAACGCAGTGGAGAGTCCTTAGAAAAGACTGAAAAAATATCATCATATCGCTGCACGAGATCATCCTTATAAGTTATAACGTCAGCTGATCGTACTGTGGTGGATTCATTCGGCGGTAAATACACACCTGTCCACACACGCTCTCTAAACTGAAAAAGTTACTCTGGCACAGAGCTCTCCTTCCCACCACCACCATCATCAGTTCGCATCTGGCGCCTAGTCGATGCAGGGTGAGTGGTGTCCGATATAGCATGCTGGTACATCAGGTAGCGCATGGTTGATTAATACGGTGGTAAATACACACCTGGCAATATGGCGGTAAATACACGCCTGCCCAGACACGCTCTCTAAACTGCAAAGTTATTCTTGCACAGAGCTCTCCTTCTCATCCCCACCACTACCACCACCATCAGTTCGCGCCTGGCGCCTAGTCGATGCATGGTTAGCGGTATCCGACATAGAAGGCTGGCACATCAGGTAACGCATGGCACATAGAAGATGGCAATGACATAGCTTGATTGCGACGTACATTTCGTTCTCTCGGTTGTGCTGTAGCCTTCAAAAGGAAATAAGACAATGCATGCACATGACACAGACAAGTAATTACTGTTACAAATACTGCATACTGCTTGATAGCAGAGAAAGAAAGTCAGTGGTCACACAAGTTTTTGGTCGTCCCTGAAACGAAGATCGTTCCAGGGGGGGGGGGGGGGGGGGGGGGGAGCTAAAATTTCTGTTGACTGACGCTATGCATACACATGTATATGCATGCGATTTTCGTCATCCATTCATTTCGGAGGGTGGAGAGGGGGTCCGAGTACGAAATGAATGATGTTTTTTTCAGGGATGACTAAACACTTTTGCGATGACCCCTTATTGCATCAATTTATCGTCTGAACTGCGCAATTGAGTCCCACTTTTATTATTTTGGGTCCAGATTTCAAGACTCGTGAAGTTCGAGGCGAAAAGCAGGCCGATGAAGGGATGCCAGTAATTCAGTCTAGTCTGGTGTCATGGAGAGGGACCGATGAACCGGCAACAAGAGAATTCAATACGCATGCTACTCTTCAGTTCATTGCTGGGGAAGACTACTCAAGGCCACGTCACTCCGGCAATTCAATGTACAAATCAGCAGCAACACTTGCAAACGTATTCCTACCAGCTGACCAGCAAGTTACCAGCCATCAGCTCTTCAAATAATTCCAACTTAACAAAGAGAGAAGATGGACAGATCGGAAAGTATCGTGGCAAGCTCAGGACAACACACTTCCGGCCCTATGTAAAAACAGTGGAAAGTGCGTGCCATGGTATATTTTCGGAAGCATCTCAAGAACCAGCTAATGTGGACTGGGAGTCCATTTGCATCGTCCGATCAGCTGCTACAAGTGCCGTGAGCCAATGGCAAACACGCCTACTACCTCTACTGAATGCAACTTTGGCATGGCAGAGATCTACTAGCACGTTATCTTATCTATCAATAGAGTTGTATCCTCGTATGCCTATGTGAAGTGTGAGGTCGTACTGTACTGCAGACGCGTCCTCGACCTGGTTGGAAATGTACGCAACAGTTCCCACCCTCTTGACCAGAGAGCGCACACACCCTAGGGTTTTGATGGGTTTGTACGACTCCCAGCTCTTGACTTTTGTTGGGTGTACGAGACGCACGCCCAGTTTTCGTAGGGTGAGTACTTTTTCATGTAGTACTGAATGCGGCAAGCAGGACTCGCCCATCCGCCCCTCCCCAAATGGATCTACTCGAATGGTTGCGGAGGTAGGGGTGCTCTGGCGGGATTTTACGACATGCACAAGCGCGCACACAATATACACACGCACGCACACACATACACATGGACGCACGCTATGTCACACGTCTAGGGCATGGCTTCGTGAATACAAGTAATAATTTAATGTTATAATTTATAGTATCCAAATGCTAGAGCAGCTTTACAAAACCTACCGTTCAATACCGGATCATCTTGTGACAGCTTCCTTGCAACACCCATGACTTGACCCCACTTCGTCTTGACGTCAGGAAATCGTTCACACCGGAGTTGGGACACGACTCATTGAAATCCAGGCTTATCTGCTGCTGGGAGCAGGACAGAGCTGATGGACGTCAGCAGCGGCTGTAGAACAACCATAAACGAGTCTTCTTTCTCCGCAGTCAGGCGGGACAGCAGCTTTGCAACGCAAGTTTCTTGCCTTCTGTGGGTCTTTAGCGGCTGGGATTCGGAACGCTCTGTAGAAACCATTGAACAAGTCCTGCACTCTATCAACCCACAAGTATTTCTTCCAATTCATGAATATTCGCAACTTTTTCTGCAGTACGTGCACCAGATCAGAAGCCGCTAAGTAGCAAGGTTGAAAGTTTCAAGACAAATTGAAAAATATAATAACATAGAAAATTAGAATTCAAACCATACCTGTGGCCCAAGCCAACACAGACTGAGCGTTCACGCGAAGAGAACGTAGATCTACGTCAGCTGAGGTTTCCTTAGGATCAGGAGGTGATTCTTGACCCGGATCTGGATCGCGATCAGCAGCACTCTCTGCCTCCATCACGATCATCAAATGCAACTAAGTACATGTAGTTCATTCTTCTTCTTCTTTTCGAGCTACGATTTCCCACGATCCTATCGATCCTGCACGAGTCCGTTCCCCAAGGAGTGCACTCCCATGGCATAAGTACGCGGAGTAGTTGGTTTATAACTCAGGGCACGCACCGGGGATATCTGAGGGAAAAGTGGGAGAAAGTGCCGCGAGTCAATCATAGTCGGCCCGGAAGGCCTCGTGTCGCCTCCCGGGTCTATACGACTCCCTGGTGGAGGTGATTTTTGGGGTTCGCGACGGTTAGCGCCATGTTGGATTTCCGAATTTTTTCTGAAAAAGAATGCCTTTCGGAGTGGAAAAATGGGACGCGATCATACACAGTTTGACCATGACTTCGCAGCGCGTGCTGGAGTCGAGACACGATTTGAGGAAGAAGCTCAGCCACTAGTGGACCGTGATGCGGATTTGTTTTGACATCGGCGGTTTTGAATAGCTTGGTTCTCCTGCCGACGTGTCGTGGAGATGAAGACGCGGGAGAGTAATCTGTCAGTCATCCACGACGCGGCCTCGCATTCTGCGTACTGGACGATTCAAGAAGCCGAGGAGGGGACGCTACGCAAGCTCAAACGATCGATCGAGTTCCTGAAAAACGGAAAGGGCGATCTCCACCACCAACGCCACTGGATTCGACTCCCGCGAAGAGGTCGTTCAGTGCCCCTCTTCACGGTGGACGAATCCTTTATCTCAGGTATCTGGCTGTGGGATTGTCTGCGTGCCAGAATCCTGGATGTGGCAAACCTCTGGCGCTCATTGATTGCGTTGAAGAGAAGAGGTACGGCCTGGGCAGCGTACTTGTCATTCCGTGTCAGCAGTGTGGGATGGAGAATTTTATGCTCAACACCCTGGCCTCCTTGCTTCCACAAGCAACACCAAAGCTGCTTTGGGTAAGTGTGTTTTTCAATCTCATAAGATCTATTCATGATATTTGCGAGTCATTTCCACCCTAACACTTCCAAACTTAGCCCGGAAGGAAAAATGCTCATCCAAACACGGGGCGAAAATTTTGACCCGAGAACTAGAAGAGAGTGTCCGCGACTCAAGGTCGCATAAAGTAGCAAATCTAGCATAAATATTGTACCAAATGTAGCATATTTTGCTACAAGGTGCAAAGAATTCGCATAATTATCACTGATATCAGTTCATATTTCGAGCATATTTCGAGCATATTTTTCTGATTTTGTGTGATTTCGAAGCATATTTTGAAGCAAGTGGCCTACATGCGAAAAGCATAATATGCGAAATTTTTGAGCATATTTTGGGTCCTCCCTATTACGGAAGTAACGTCTTTTGCATACCTACGGGAATAAAGTTCATTCTCAGGTCATGAGCCTGTGAAAATCGGTGCGTGCGAGCGTTTTTTTAAATTTTATTTCCCACAATTATTTTTGTATTTCCAAAGATAGGGTCACACATTATGTACATGGTCACATGTTCATGACTGTATTCAGGCCAGGGAGTAGAAAAATACCGGTATTTTACTACTCCCTGATTCATGCCTTTCGCATTGACCATTTTCATGCGCGCATACATGTATGCACGCATAGAAATAAAAAAATCGTTGATGCGCCGCCAAAAATCGGTGCGTGCGTACTTGAGAATCAAAGATAATTTTTACCACGGCCTTATGTACCTAATTTTGACTGAGTACGAGGTCAGTATAGGAAATGAAAGCCGAGGTCTTTTACGAGGTTTTTATTTCCTATGCTGACCAAGTACGAAGTCAATATTAGATTTATCACGACAAACAGTCCGTATTTCAAATTCCAGAACGAAAACCTCATGAATCCCGACTTTATGATTGCACAACCATTGCATCATCACCTACTCATGTAGTGACGATGCTGCACTAGGCACCGTAACCCATAAGCAGTCAAATATGCAGTCAATATAGCCCTAAGGAGTGAACTATGCAGGAATATTTGACTGCTTAGGTATAGCGAAAATCAATGGGAGTCAATACTAAGAGAGTGATAATTACATCGGATGTATTGTACAAATCAGGAAGTCGTACATGTACACGTATATCCTCTATAGACCCAGGTGTCTCGTTATTTGCTGATGATACAACCCCAGTGTCTGCTCCAGCGCCGGGTGAGCCGGGTAATCCACCCGGTTGGGCGGCGCTTGAACCCGGTTGAAAATATAGTACCGGGTCACCTGTGACCCGGTTGGTACTTTACACTTTCGAACTTTGAAAGGACTGACTACATGGCTTGTATGTGTCAGACTCCAGTACTTCTTCTTCTTTCGTAATTTTCCTGTCCTCTCTTTTCTAAATGCGGCTTATCCATTCGCCTTTATATCATTGGGCCTAGTTCTCGTTTATTGTCCGAATTAAAATAAACCAACCAACCAGTTATTAAAGCATGTGACTCGGCTGGTGAGACAGCGCCAGGTACATGTGTACCCGGCTCCGACCCGGTTGAAATGGTTGCGCCAGGTACACGTGTACCCGGCTGTCCTACAATCCTAGAGCAGACACTGAACCCTACTGTCAGCATCCTCGTCCTCAGCGGCTCTTGTACCTCGAGTGTCGGCTCAGATATGCAGTGTCCTACGCTGGATGCAAACATGGCGACTTAGACCCAACCTGACTAAAACCAAAATAATGTTCCTTCCTCCAATCTCATCCATGTCACTTTTACACCATCCTGATTTCCCAGAACCCATAAAGGTTGTTTCCAACCATAAACACCTGGGAATAATGCTTGATGATCGTCTCTCTTGGTCTTACCATATTGATGCTCTTTGCAGCCGTTCAAGCTCTGCCCTAGGTGTTATACGTCCCCATTGTTTCCATCTTCCTGTCAAATGCAAAAATTTGTTTTACAAACTGTATATCCTGCCTAGGCCTCGACCAAATATGCTAAAAAAAAGAGCATATTATGCTCGTCGCATATCAGGGAAAACGTCCATAATATGCCAAAGGCTTAGCAAGATATGCAAAAAGATATGCCAAAATATGCTCGACATAAGCAGAAAGTGTAGATCATTTCAGATCATTTCAGTAAAATTACAACCTTGGAGTATTCATTGGCTTCACGGTTATCAATAACTTATCATGCTTATGGTGCAAATCAAAACACATGCGGAATAGTATGGCTGGGGTGTGTCCCCACTCCCCAGCAACCGTAGCGATAGTGTTCATCCATGTGGAAATGTAGCAAACGCCTCGACCATTCCAAATTCATCCATAAAAGGCATTTCTGAACGCATTTTGTCCATAATATGAATGTTTTGTCCTCATTGTCTTCAGAATATTTGAATTATATGCTGGCTTCATTCCAATATTCCCTTTTCCGCTCAATATGCCATATATGAACTGTCTCACAAAATGTGCGGAAATATGCGCAAGCAAATTTGGTCGAGGCCTAATCCTGCCTCTTTTCATGTACGCTGCTGTTAGCTGGTGTGGCTTGTCCTCTGTTCTCGCTGAGCGTCTCGAAATCCACCATAAAAAACGTCTTCGTATCCTGTTTAGTCTACCCCCTCTCTACTCTTCTGCTTCCCTGTATGTCCTTGCAAATGCTTGCCCACTGTCAACCCACCGTCAAAAATTAATTTGCACATTTGCTCATAAATTTAAACTAGCTCTACATCCTCCTCATCTTAACGTGTATAACTGGTTCCGAATCACAGATGGCTCCCAGACAAGATGCTCTGTTGCCCTCCCCTTGGCTAAAACGTCCTCCCTTGTACACTCTCCAGTCTTTTTTGCCTACTCTGCTTGGCTTGCGCTGCCCGCTACTACGCGCAATGCCAGTACCCTGGACGCATTTAAATCTGCTCACTAGATTCACCATCACCTGTCCCTCCCATGCTTCTCCGTCTTGACAATTACTTTTCTTATTTTCTTCTTTTATTCACCATGGTTGGTTAACACCCACATCTCCCGTACTGGCTGATTTTCTTTTCATGCCATGAGGTGTTGTCTATAATAATAATAATAATAATAATTCCCACCTTGCTCCCCCTTATGTTCTGGCTGCCTGTTTTGGATCCATCAGTTGCCTGGTGATCGTAGTAATACGTGAAACTCAGAGTTGTAACAAAGCCTCCAAACTCTTTCTTGTGTAATAATAATAATAATAATATACGACTCCCTGGTAGATCTACATGATTGTACAAAGCTTCTACATGTAGCAGGGCAAGAATAGATGTAACATATCCATACCACGTGACAAAATAGAGAATACATCGCCAGTATACCACTCGCGACAACTACAGCACTGCCCGAAAAATGACGCTTGATCGACAATGGTCGATTTCCTGGACAAGACCCCTTCGTGGTTCACACCTCCATCGCCTTCGCTCCCAAGTCTTCTTCATTATCATGGTTAAATGACCCTGGTAGAGACCAATGAAGTGTGTCCGTGATGCTCCGCTTCAACAAGAATCGCTAAGCATCAAATCATCATGAACAGTGTACTTCACGAAGAACAGTAGGATCGGGCGCCAAAGAACGCATGAGCTTAAGGCACAGCCTAGAATTTTTCTAAAATGTTGAACGGCGTTAATCGTTTTGTTCTTATTCCACGATCATGGACATAAAATGCGATTACACCACTTGGAAAACATGCAGAAAATGGTACGTGCGTTCTTTCAAAAATCTGCAAATCTAGCCTGAATTTACCCATTTTCCAGCCTAAGTCATGTAAGTCTGATGGTTCTGTGATATTCAGTTAAAAAAAGTGTTCTTTGCCGAAGTGACTTCTACGCCTGATCTTACTGTACATACAAATATACATGTACGTGTATGTGGCAGCCCTGAGCATGCCGCTATGTCATGAATGCTGTGCGAAGGTTTAACAAGAAGGGCAATGACTTATTCCAAGTCTGTTCATTTCCCTATAACTCACGCAGTGGTACTGTGCCACAGTGTTGTCTATTTCCGCTCCATTTTTGGTTATTATTGGTGTCATCATGCACCAGAACTCGCTCATTTGGGGTTGCGATATTAGCAACT